ATCAATATAGCCGAGGATCATCGTCGTCAACATTAGGTACACGTATGTATCAGATCCGAACCTCCGCGGTGCGACGGCCTTGCGCAACGCTGCCGTACGAGACGTCTGGAAAGTCGAAGCCGTAAACGGAAGCGGATGTACCTGTAACCAGAAGATGAAATTCTCAGCCAGCTATCTCTTCGATGGAAAAGCCTGGAGCGGTCGAACTATAGTTTCCGCCATTTCACGAGAAAGGCCGTCCCTGGCGTGGGCCAGTGTAAACAAGCCTTAAAGTATGCAGCCCCCCGATCATCCATAATCATAACTGTATAACCATATCTATGCGAACATCCGTACCCGTTGTGGGGATCGTCCATGCCGTTTCAATTAATGGACCACCGTGTCGGGTGACGGAGATGAGTTCGATCGAGATAAATTTTTCGTTATGAATAAATAGAAGAAAAAATAAAAAAAAATAAAAAAACTGAATTAAAAGGATAATCCACGGTATACTTGTTGACAAAAATGCTACTTACGGTATTCTAAATAGTAGATGGAACGTCAATTCAGTCAGATGTGTCAGGTATGCCTATGAGATTATATATACTCAACACCTTACTAGGTCTCTATGTAGATCCTGATCGGTTCATCCTCCTGGCAGCCATTAGCCCAAGAAGTTCTCGCACGAGTGCACCGAGTTACAAATTGCTGGCTAACAAGCCTAGATGCATGAAGGAGCTTAACGAGATGACGTCACAACAATAACAAACAATTGCAACGTCTCGACGTCCGTTACTGCACCCTAACGAGCCGAGATAGAAAGAGACGGGGAAACGCCAAGCCCGCATTGCATTATTGGCCGGACGAGAAGAGTGTTCTCTTAGGGCATCCAGTAAGGCCGGTAGGCAATGGAGGTTTAAGAGGAGGAACAAGAGAGAGAAAGAGAGAGAGATATATATATAGAGTAATCATGAAAGGGGGACAGAGAGAGAGGGAGGACGAGAAGAAGGTGAATTAGTCGTAAGTCACTCAGTCTCAGCTTGTTAGCATCGTTAACCCTGACCCTCCGCATATTCCTACCCTGGCACCCGGCTGGTATATTCCTGCCAGTTTCCATACCGATCTGAAAGCGATCGAACGATCCATCTTGAGTCTTTTTTCTTTTTTTAAACTTCTTTTATTCCTGGTATATATAGTTCATTCTGCTAACTCCTATATTAGTCCTCTGTACCGTCTCCTCCTCGAGTGACACGACGGTCTGGATAAGCGGGACATCAATTGCTATGGATTATCGATGATTCAAGGACGTTGATCGGCTAATGGTTCTCGTACTCGTTAACCTAGATAATCGGTATATCTAACGATTCCAGGACGCGTAGAAATTTCTGAACCTTCCTTAAGCTTCCTACGCGCGTTTTTGGTATCGAGAATGGGAGTTGTATGAAAACTCGTTCACGGTTCTCTTGGAGCCAGTGAAAGCTTCCTGAACGGGATGCGAAAGTTCGTTCTGGACGTATAGACTCTTCTTCCAGTGACCGATTGGAAGTGAGACTGTGGGAAGGAGAAAGACAGTGCCATTAGGTTAGCTGGAAGGGGGACAGAGAAAGGATATACCATATAGGAAATAAGTGGTAATAATGGACGTAGGTGAAATACTGGTCGTTCAAGCATGACCGATAGAACCTGGACGCTGTTCGATTCACAACGTGTAACGTGATATACGGGACCTTCTCGTAAGTCGTTACGTGCTATACCGGCCTGACGTGTAGCAGTGCCCCAGGCGCCTAATGGAATTATGAATCATCGTTCGACGCGTGTCCAACGTGATTCTGTTTACTGGACGAACAGCCAAGACCAAGATGAATTTTCATAGTGTATGGCAAGTAGATGACGATTATCGAACGTGTCCTTGTTACGGTACTATATGGCTCCATGTTACACTGTACTTACTGTACCTCAAGTAACGTATATGTCATGGAAAAATCCAAGCGTGGCGCACGGGTAAAGTCAAGCTCGTCGGAAAGAAAAGATAAATTCAGGAGTTTACAGCGCCTTTAAAGTTGGGAATCTCTTTAACGACCTGGCAGAATGCCACCGTTCTCACTGGGAGGCTGAGGCATTGACGGTCGTGTGGCGGAGTAGCGGTTATCATTCATTTTCTCTCGAGCGAGCGAGCCCCAACGGCTCTGTTAATGACAGTTGCCCGGAATTACTGCAGAAGTTCTCATTCCGCACCGGCTGACTCCTGGAGAACGAGGACCCGGCCGGAAGATTATCTCTCTGGGAGAATGCTTTATGCTCCTGTTTTTTGTTCCGCCCCTCTAACCCATATACCTCCGCGATCATCCTCCACCATGGACCAATGGTTTATTTTACTGTTACCGCCAGATTCCGCACTCACCTCAGCACGATGGTTACGCTGTCCCGCGGATGAGTAACCCTCCGAGGTCAACCTCCGTTCGGGTCCATGGACCATTCCTTTTGAACTCAACCCTTGAAGTACCACAGTGGTAGTTTTCAGGGGGGAAAAAAATGATCTTCAGCTTTCCCCGAGGCCAGGACCTCCAAGGATCGTTCGCCAAATGGAACTGTAATGTCTGCACGCAGCTTCCCTCATCTCGTGGAAATAAAGAGGACGTGGGATATGGATAGAGGAAGAATAAAGATCCTTACTCCAGGCTTTCAATGGGTGACCCCACCCTTCTGCCCTTTAATATTACCTACCCTCGTTCGATATAGGCGGGCATATATAGGCACTGTACTGTACTATACTCATCCCTTAGATACATGGTAAGGATATCACGAAATACTGGTACTCCCTCAAGGAATACAGCCCACGCTACAAATAGTGTACAGTAAGTACCAGCACTATTCGACACACGTACTCGACCCTGGGGCGCAGTACAGCTTCTGCAGGGAAAACGGAAAGTATCTACAGACACTTATACACGGAGTCCAGACTCGAATGTGTCTTCTTCGCGAAGTCGTTTTGTTTTCTCGCCCGTTATGAATGAACAGAGTTGGCTTTGTGTATCCCATACCGAATCCCCACGTCTCCCACACTTTGGTCCAGTATCAGTATAGCGGATTCAGTGCGAGGCTGGGGAAGCAGAAGAGATGCATCTCATTCCCTTCTTCCGTCTCTGAATTGCAACACGGTTCTCTGACTATGTTCTCTCCTCTCTCTCTCCCTCTCTCTCCTACATAGTTTCCCATCCCTATACAGTAACAACCCTATCCCGTTTATCCCGGCGGCAGCAGCCTGTATCCGAACAATCAAGCATTCCTGGTCCAACGCTCCCGGGAAAATGCCAGCTTGAGTCTGGAGTGAAACAGGAACGCTCGGTCCTTCGAGTCTCGGGCAGTTCGTGATTATTAAAGGGACACGCTGTGTGCTTAAAGGTTGGCAATTTGGCACGGTATGATTTGAGCAACCCTTAAGTGTTTTTTTTTTGATTCTTGAAAATTTTAAAGATATCTATTATCGTATACCAATCAGCTTGACAAAATATTTGCCTATTCTCACTTCGAGCTCTATGTATATTTCCTACTCTTTTTTTCTTCTTCTTTCTTTACTCTTAATCTCTCGTCCGAGCTTCTCTCCGTCTTCAATCGATTCTCGCATGGCGGAGCAATTTCGCGGGATGCTCGCTTACCGACTTGCTGGCTGCAGTTTGGCCAGTCGTGAAAGTAATGGTGGCAGGAAAGGAACTGGATGTGGAAATGTTACGAGCCAGCGATGGTCGAATCGTAAACTTTTAAATTATTACGCACTTTTGCACTTAACGGAGCTATTAATAAAAGGAAAAGTATCCCACGCCAGTGGCGTAGAGTCGCTATCGCTTTTACCATTAGAGCCCACTGCGTTTGCACATCTGCATCTTACCCAGCATCGTTCCCGTGGCACTGAACGTTCTTTTTACATCTGTACACAGGGTATATAACTGAAGCGTGGATATAGACCGCGGGTCCCGTTATGCCCTTGTACAACTATGTACAAAGTTCCATCGATAATGTTTACCCCTATTAACGTATTAACCCACTACCTCACGACATAGTGCATATCCACCGGGTGATTACGAATTCAAATATGCCACCCTACTCTCGGTACGTTATGATTAGCTGAAATAGTTTATACAGAGAGGAAACACTCCTAAGAGGGCAATAAAATTTCAGTCAAGTTAGGATAATGCCGTTAGTTGGAAAGCCCGTTGCTCAGGCAACTTTTAACCGTTAATAATGGCGGACCTCGACTCCGTGCGCGAGACTCGTCGATCATTTTCCTCCTGGTAAACCCGCGGAAATTCGTCGATCTTCTTTTTACCCTGAATTACATTCCCTTGAGAAAGAGAGTGTGACCCTTGTTCCTCCTACCTCTCTAATACGATTGCTACGTGTAATCCATCCCTTAATACTTAATTCATGTGTATTATTATTTAAACCCTCACGCTTTTATCTGCACCTGACTACGTCACGCTGAATTCAATGACGACTTCAGCAATCCCTATCATAGTGCATCCGTGCATGTACATTCCTCCGTGCCTTTCGTAAGAGATTCAAAGAATTGCTCAATATGCATCAAAGCGCATCTTTCCGTCAGAGGTCGACTTCCGCGGTACTTAAATGCCGTTGCGTACCAACTTACGTATACGTAGTGACTTCGGGATACTACCCTGTGTCTTATAAGGTATTTCATAGAATTTCATACGTACGTTAAAACAGTATTGACGCTTGGATATGGCTTCCGAAACTTATTCCGGGTGAGGTTTAATGAAGTCGAGGGAAATGGATTTGGGGTTGGTCATGGTTCCAGGGTAGGTCATGCTACCTGAGCGACCCTTGTTCATTAAGAGGGTAATATTAGGTAGCTCCGATTATGGATACCTGTGCATTAAATTAAATTGTTGGGACACGAAGGTTTGTTTGCTTTAATAATAGCTGTCGATTGCTATAACTGTATATAGGTAATCAGTTCAATTATAGTAAATGCATGGAGTATGACCGGGGCGAGTAAATTAATGTTGAATAATAGTAATTATAATAATAATTAAATAATGTATTTGATGAACGGTAACGTAGGTACCCAAGGGAATAATAAAAATAATAAATTTTGATATTGAACTCCGCGCTTAGCGACCAAGAGAGAAGTATCTTTCGAATGCTCCTCTTGGTCTCTGCCCGTTAAAAGTGGTCCAGGCAATTAAACCGGAGGACACGCATAAGCATGGCGCGCCAGGACAATTTCTCTAATCTCGATTGAATCGCACGGTAGAACCGGAAACGGTGGGAGCACGTGTGCTCAGCGAAGGTTTCAGAAGGAAAAGGACGAGTGGGATGCTGGATAAGGGGGACGATGAGAAAATATGGTCACTCGGTCCCGTCGAAGTATCCTGGAGTCCAGGCGGATATCGTTCTCTGCAATAACCTCATAGTCATGAGTCGTGGTACCTAATAGAGAGGACCAAGTGGAAGGTCTTCAGGATGGGTCTGGTTACGTGATCCAATCGTGCAAAAGGGGTCGAGGACTCAGTGAGAGAGGAACAAGGAAGGAGAGGGTGAGAGTAAAAGAATTGAGGGATGGTAGGAGGGGGGATGTTACATTGGGACTGCACAGCACAAAGAATGCCCCATCCATCAAGCTTGGTCCGTGAAGAGAAGCTGAGGGATGGTCTGGTGTTTCTTCAGCAGTCGAGTAACTGACTCCCTGGTAGGATCAGAGAGACAAGAGTTAATCGGGATAAGTTCCGTGGCAGCAATCAGGAAACGCGACAAAAGAAGAAGAAAGATAAACCCAGAGCGACGGCCTCGTCGCGGTACAAATCGTTTGTCATCGCTGAAGTCAATTGAGGACGATGAAAACAAAGGTTATTTTAGAAAAGGGAGCTCAATACGGACTCCGCCCCGTTATAACAGCGAAACGGCCAAGTGCTTTGATGAAGAGGCTGTGGATGTTGAAGAGGATGAATGATACAAAACATCCCTCTCTTCTTTTTCGAACAAAAAAAATAGACTTTTCTTTGTGCCTCTACGAAAAGCCTGAGTGGGTTCTTAAATCTGATAAAACCGTCTCCGAGTATTTTGATCCTAGATCCTTACGAGTATCTATGCTTTTCTTCTGGACTGTAGTATAATTATTCATTAACGCAAAGTGCTCTTGTCGACGGGATTTCGGTTGCCGAGATGACGGCCAAGGGTACCTGGAAGACCCAAAGCATAATCTCATCCTGGTAGTGGGACGACACGCGCACCCGATCTCCCACAGTGGGTGGCACAAGTTTGCACTGTCTCCGGGTGAGAAGGACCAACCTCCCGAAGCCTACGGGAACACCAACTTGGCTAACTCGTCGAGTTGTGTCAACTTCTCTCGGTGGTACTTTGCTGCGACTAAGCTCGAGTTGAGTAATTTCCGCTTTGTGCCTGAAGTTGCCTCACGAGGAGCCGTGCCGGTGGGATGCGAATTCGATGGTTCGTTTTATAGAATAGCCGGAACCGTATCTGGGGTTTCTAATTGAAATAATTATACATTGTACGCCTTACCGGGAAGATTGGGTTTGGTGATTATCTGAAAGAAAACAAAAATTTCTTTTTTTCAGACATGCTACGAAATGGAGAGGTACCTGAAGGACGAGCCGAAGTTACAGTCGTACAAAAAGTTACCCACGGAACTGGACACAGCGCCGTGGAACCTCTTCAGGGCGCCGCCAATATCCTGGACGGCGTCTACGGGCACTACCAACGCACAGTTTGACGCGCCGATAAAAATGGAGGTGGGTCTCGATTATTTTGAGGGAGCAGCGTACTTCGTGGTAAATTGGAATTTAGTGAGAAAACTGTTACCTGCTTTTTATCTCAGGTCACGACGTCGTCCGACGACAGAGATCCACTCTGTCTAGACGACATAAAGTTTAGTCCTGGCGACCACAACCACAACGGCCGCGACAGGGACCTCCTGGATAGACACCTGGATTCGCTGTCGATGTCGTCAGCGAGTTCGGCGTGTTCAGCCCTCTCTTGGGACAGTTCGCCCTCGTTGTCGTGCACAGCACTAATCCTGAAAAAGGAGCCAAGCGATGACTTGGAAGAGGACGAAGAGCACGAGGTAAATGATTCTGTAATTGAATTTCGGCCATGAAAAATCTTTCTGGATTTCGTGCACGTGTGGTGTAACTTGAGAAAAATCTAACCTACGGATGTCTACGAATCTGTTTAGGAAATGGAGGAAGAGGAAGACAGTGGGTGCGAGGGTGAAGGTCAAATATTGACGCCACCGTCGAGCCCGGAGTCGGGTCAAGGGCATTCCAATTCCAGTCATTCATCGAGCGGGAGCTCGATGCTCGACGTGCACAACCTTAACCTTCACGGAGCAGGTGGCAGGAGTGCAATCGTCAGGGTGACCGCGAGTAACGCACAAGGTGTCGCGAGGTTCGTAACTTTTACTTCAAAAATAATTAAAAAAAAAAAAAAGAAAAAAAACTTTTATCGCAACAAAAGTCCATTCTTCACTTCCAGATTGATATCCGTGACGGCGAACGGCTTCCCGGCAGTAGCCAATGCGCAACATGCACATGCGGGTGCAGCTGCAGTTGCGTCCACAGTTGCGAACAGGCACCACGCGCGAAGTCACGAGCACAGCCCACCGGATACGAAGCGTAGGATACACAAGTGTCAGTTTCCGGGTTGCAAGAAGGTCTATACCAAAAGCTCACACCTTAAGGCGCATCAGAGGACGCACACGGGTGAGTAGACTGATTTGCAGTTTCACCGAAAAGCAACCCCTGCCTAGAATACAAACCTAGTCTAACGTTCCAGACTCATTTTCTTACCGCGCCTCGTCCCGATGCTGGGCAAGAGCTCCGAGAGTAATTAGGTTAGCGTGCCCGGTTTCCGGGAGTTTCTTGCTATTACCTCGAGAATTATCCAACCCGGTAGTCGGAGTCTACTAGATGTACCAAGTGTGTATACAGGCACGTGGGTGTTAGGAGGGTAAAAGGGTAGTGGGATATAGGGTTGAAGCAAACAGGGATGTACCAGTTCCGAAGAACACGAGGAGTCTGGGGCTGGGAGACCGCCCGCCCCCCCTTATTGCGGGAATAACAATGCATAATTAATCACGAAGTTGAATCAAGGGGTAGTAGACCAGTTAGGGTTGGTTCGGCTTGGTTCGGCTTGGTTCCCGGTCGGAGCAAGGAAAGAGTAGCGGAGAAGAGGAAGGAGAGTTGTAGAGATTGTCTAGCAAGAGGAGAAGGGTAGGTGCCAGCCGGGGTAGATAAATGCGGTATTAATGGCCACCCCGTGTGTCGAGGGGTTGGGATTACTCGGGTTTGCCTATAGAGAAGGCACAAAGTTTCCAGTGTCGGTAAAAGCCCGTTCCCTGAACTTTCCTTAGGAAGGACGCAATTTTCACCCCCTCTGCGATCGTTCAGACATCGACGATCCTGACGTCGCATCAACCCCGTCAGCCATCCGGCGTGTTTACAAGAAACAGCCCCTAGTTTCGCCGTCCCCATAGTATGCCCGTTCATTTGGAATCCTTCCGCGATATACGCCGTGTCGAGAAAGTAGCGATTTGCGAGAACGCCTCGGACGTCCCGTTCATTAGGAAAGTTTCCGGCGATGCTAGGATCGGTTTACCAGGGTGGGGGAGGACGCGAAACAGGACATTACAAACGAAGAGACAGAAAGAGGCTGACCTATCTATATATGTACTCTGTATCCTCTCGATTCTCTTGGTAGCGCCGAAACCGTAATTAACGAAGTCGTTCTTTGTCAATGCTTTTTGTTGCTTCGCATTCGCCAGCCTGCTCCGGCACGGCTGTTTCGATATTAGCCCAAAGTTTTCGATGCACTGTGGTTTATACGTATACAAGTATCACCGCCGAGCCCTCCCACCGTCAAGGGATAGGTAATAAGAGGCTGATGGTCGGTAGCGCCAGTAGCAGCTAGTTGGGATTACATCTCGCGGATCGTTAAGCAGAACTGCTAACTACAGGATTATGCATACTTCGCCCGTTCTCGTAATTATTACTCCGTAATGAATTCGCCCTGTTCCCACCGCGAAATGGAACAGAGAAGGACCACTCCCTGTTGATGGAATATTCAAAGCGCAATAGGACTCCGGGGTAGAATTTGTCACAGCATCCGCAATCGTACGTCTGCTTCGGGTTATCGAACAAAACGTATATATGTATGTCCGAGCTATTTTATTCGTTAGAAAGAAATGGAAGGATTCGAAATATACAGGGGGAGATGCTTTAGAGAATAAAGAGCCAGAACCGCTACGACCACGAGAGGGATGAAAATTGAGGAGACGATACTTTGATCTCTCGAACGAATTGAATTTCAGCTGGTCCACGACAGGATGACTTTCTATGACCCAACCGTGAACTCCAGGATCAACCGACGAGGATCCCAATGCGGTTAAGGGGGTCAATGAAAACTGGTTCAAGCTTTGGCTCTTCATACCTATAGGCTTCTCCGAGCTTGTAACCTTTTCGAAATAACTTCATCCTCCTTCACCTTTATCGTCTATAGAGACACTTTAATAATTTCATAACAGAATCAGATTAAATGCGACACCCTTGTACCCTTACGTAGACGCGGGATGGTTAGAATTTCAGAGAATCGTGGAAGACCCTCGCGAAATGGGTAATATCGGGAATATCCCTTTCGGCAATCCTCGTGACGGGGGTACCGGGGCATTTCCCACCGCGAGAGGGAAGAAAATAATAACGGCCGAAGTCCGTGTTTGCGTTATAAGCGGCGCGGGGCTCAACGGGGAAAAGACGATCGAGATAGGAAAGACCTTTTGTATATTTTAGCCGTTTTCCAGATCAGGAGTTTGGGGTCGAGAGAGACGTCGGCGTCGTGTTTGTCCCGTCGAGTGTTAAGTTTGTAGTGCACCGACGTATCTCGACCTAAACAAACCCTCTTTCCCCATTTTCCTTCGGGAACCGCGAGTATTGATTGTTCCCTCTTGTTCGGAAGAGGGATGAGCAGGAGGCGGGGATGCATTTGCTGTCTGAACCTCATGAAAGGGGTGTCCCATCCGTCCGGGTACATCCACCCCTAGAAGTCGATCCCCTAGAAAGAAATGAACCTCGAGCGAAGGAGTACCCTGCGTCCCAAAAGTTTTGTGGCAAAAAAGAAAAATAAAAAAAAAAAAAGCAAAACGACACTACGATGGAAGGGATGGAAAAAAATATATATAAAGGAATCCATACCCGATTCTGTCTCTTGCGAGAGGCTCCCGAGAAATTTCCAATTACGCGGCTTTTCCACTCGGGATTCCATTCCGAGGATCGCTCCACTCCGCCGCCATTGTCTCTTTCACGGCTTTACCCCCGGAACGATGCTGAACGTCCAGCAGTCAGAATGAGAATGACACAGGAGAAATAGCGTTCCCGATCGGCGCTATCGCCTCTCTTACAGGACGCGTAGGATTTTCCAGTAAATTGCACGAGCCGCGCGCGGATTAAACTTTATTCCCGAAACGACTAGGGCCCGCCTTTGGCAGTGCGCTTCTATACGCTCCTGAAATGTTGGCAGGAATGTCAAATTTGTCGGTACATTTAAGCGCGCCATGATAATCGCCTGGATACTTACCTCAGTCTCATACCAACCGGATATACCGTACGTATGAGTAACCCCATGTAGTCACGCAACGCCGAGGCACATGGTAATATCATTAAAGAAATATATAATCTCCACCCATAGACGAGCCCGCGTTACAAGCTTTGTCTGGCTACGTATACGCAATATCTACTAGATGGGAAGCACACGACCGTGCAAATTTAAACCGATTGAGCGCATCACTGTTATCTCGCAGCATCTGGCTGGACCGCAAACTCCAGGTGTACCACAGCCCATATATCTATAGCTACGCCACTAATTTTCTTATTCTAACAATCAGTCTGCTAGCTGAACACGTACGAATATCTGTCTTTATCCCCCTCATCCTTTCTTCCCTCTCTACCATAAACGCCTGCAGTAATATCACCGAGAGCCAAGCTTTCTCGAAGACTCTTATGTCAAGAAAAACACACGGAGTATCCGCTATAACACGTGACGGCCTTTTCCTCGTCATTTTCTTCGTCCCTTTCCGCCTTTCTTTGCTCGAACAGAAACGAGAGTCCGGTGCTCTCTCCGGATCCCAAGCACTGTATACGTAGGCACCGGTCACAGTTCACCGGCGATACACAGTATAGGTGGGTTCGCGACTGACGAACTTTTGCCCATATATTTCGTGGGCGGACCTCGACGCCATAATGTCGAACGAGCTATCGTCGTAGCGGCAGACTTAATAAAATGCAAAGACGAGGAGCACGTTGCCCCGACGGACTGACATATCGACGCAATACCGGCCCAGGGCCGTCTCGCTACAGGGTACCAAGGGGTGGGACATAGAAAAATCACCCTTCCAGATGAAAGGCCAACCCGTACACAACGAGGTCGTATGTTAACACCACTACGATTTTTTAGACCCCCCCACCCCCACCCCCTTCTCCTACCCCTCTTCACTCCCCTTGCCGACCTGCGATCTTTTCTTCTTCACTGCTCTCCTCTCTCACGATCTGATCCATATACCAACATATACCCTTATACACGTGCCTCTACTCCCCCCACGTATCAGGAGAATTTCTCCTAATATCCAGTATCCCTGGTCCATTACCAAAGGGGTGGTTTTCCTGCCCCCATGAAGTACGCACTAGGCAGTAGGCACATAACCTGTCCCGTTGGACGTAGAAAAATACGACAGGCACAGCAGGGAAAGTGGTCGGTCTGTCCAGGACATGTATGCATACGTATTATTATAGGTAGCCAGGGATGCTGCGGCAACATGAGAGAGTAGTGAAAGGGAGGGCTAACGTGTTAAGCCGTCTTGTTTAATACGGCTTTATTACATAGTTGGCAGCCAACCACCCTGGGGGCTATTATGCGGTGATAAAATGCACGACGTGCGAGCGGACATTGTATTACGCTAGTATACCAACTGGGTGCACGCGTGTGTATATATACCTATCTAACCTGTGAATTCATACGTATCTCCACGTTCAAAGCGTATTTCTCCATATAGATATGAACCGTGTACTTTAGTAACTACGGCCATTCAAATGTGCCTGGGATCTATGGACCTAGGACCTCTAGGATCCATGTACTATGTGCTCAAGAGTAAACAAGATACGGCACTGCGTATACCGACTATAGGAACACTTGCCCATCCGATTAACCAGAGCTTTCTCTTGCTCTTGCGTATCTTCCGATAAGCTTCTGAAATATATCCGAGTCCTTGTTCTCCAAGAGGATCCTCCACGTGACGACTTGGCGCGACCCGGTATATTTTCCACCGGGTGAAAAACTCCCAGCATCGTGGTGTGACCGGGTTGTACCCGTGGTGTACCCAATTTTTCCAATGCTACGTGTACCGTGGACCACGTGCGCAAGTGGGTGCAGGGAGGTGAAACCGAAGAGAAAACGTTTGGTTATGCGTCGGCATGTTCTCGTTGGATTTGTCGACGTCAGCCATGCTCGACGTGGGCGGCCTTACGTGGAGAAAAAGCTCACCGGTTTGTTTGGTCGCTCGTGCGACTCTCGCGCCAGGAAGAACAAAGTGCGGCATAAATTCAGGACGGAACGGAAAGAGTGAGAGAGGGAGTTACTGGCAAAGAGAGAGAGAGAGAGAGAGAGAGAGAGAGAGAGAGAGAGTGAGAGAGAGAGAGAGAGAGTGAGAGGGGGGGAGGACAAACGAGAGGAAACCAGACTCTTATTGTCTTGGGCGAAAGTGAGGAAATGTAAGAGAAAGAGATAATAATA